CCGAAACGTCAGCCTTCCTGCTCCTCTGATGCTGCTTGGCCTGCTGTGTTCATCCAGCTCTACACCTTGTTATCTCAGATTCTCCAGCATCTGCAGTTCCTGCTACCCCTTCAGAATTGAAGATGACTTGCCTTCACTACGGTTTGATGGGTTTTGCGTTGCTTTTATGTCTAGACTATTCCGAGCAGGTGGTAAAGGGTTGGGTGGAAAAGTTGTTTTGTTTGTGTGCTGTTTGCAACACCTGAACCTTGTGGTTCCCAATGAAGTCTCGATGTGGTTGATATCTTTCCTAATGAACTTTTTGCAATTTATCCGGTTGTGGTGCAAGTCCTCCCAAGAGTTGGCTGGGATAATTAACCACTTCAGGAATACTTTGAGGATATCATTTAAGCATTTTTGCTGTCTTTGTGTGAGACTTCTGCCACAACAGAGCTCAAAGTAGTGAAGCTCCTTCAGGAGTCTAGTGTCCAGCAGATGGGCAGAACAAGTCCTGACTAACAGAGCATCAGAGTAATTTGTGCCTCGATGTTGGGCATGTCGGCTTGGGAGATCTTCTTCTTTTATAGCACCTGCAGTTTCCCCTTAATTTCTCCGTGTTTTAGAGTTCCATATTCTCACTGCACCCTAGGTTTAAAAAAATGTTTTCTTTTGAATTCTTTATTTGGTTTGTTTGTGACCAATTTTTATTGTCTTACTGTTCCCCATAAGTGCAAACACTTTATGTTTGCTCTATCAAAACATTTCATGATTTTCAAGGCCTCAAAAGAGTACTGATAGTGAGTATGTATTCTATTCAAAATAGTCATTAATAGTGTCCAACAAAGATGTGTGCTGAGGCCTCAATTATTCATTTGTTTGTTAATAACATAGATAATATAGGGCCATATATCCAAGTTTGCAGATGTCACAAGGACTGATGGTGTATTAAATAGCATAGATAGAGGCATAAAATTACAAAAAGATATTAATAGCTTGTTTGGTGGAGGTGACGGTCTAGTAGCATTCTTGCTGTAAATCCAGAAACTCGACTAACTTTCTGGGGACCAGCGTTTAAATCCTGCCATGGCAGATGGTGGAATTTGAATTCAAATAATGGTGACCATAAAACCACTGCAGAATGTCAGAAATCACAATGGCATTGGGGACTGCGGCCAGTCAAGAAGGCAGTTCACACCACTTTAAATGCAACAAGGGATTGGCAATAAATACTGGCTAGTCAGCGTGTGAATAAAACAAAAACAATGGCAGATGGATTTCAACTCCAGTAACTACAAATTTTAAACCAAGGAAGGATAGATCTGAGTATTATTTTAAAATGTTAAATTGTGGTAGTGGAAAGCTTGTACACTGCTGAAAAGAGGCATATTTTGTCGTAGATTTTTGTCTTTTGCTCATCAGGACTCCCTCACGAGACTACCAATGTAAGGGTGAACAACACTCTACTGTATGAGAAGAGAGTGCTGATTGATTAACAGGTAGACTCTGGTGCAGGTGTTGCCATGGAGCATGCACCCGTTAGATGATGACTGCCAGTTAACTCTAAACTTTGTTTAAAATTTATCCAGGCTGTTTGAATTTGGGCAAGGCATTGCCCTGAGGAATGAACCAGAAAATGGCCGTTGCCTGTTTTGTTAAGGTGAAACAGACACATTCTTTCTTTTTATGTATGAATGTTCACCTTCCACCAAGTGGACGTGCATCACACTGTGTGCCTGATTGGTGATCACTGTAATTTTTGGCATATTTGGGACTATTTAGAAAATATTGTGGAATTGTGGGATCAAATTTAATGTTGGATCCTTATTTAGCAACCTCCTGTACGGCACCTTGTCAAAGGCCTTCTGGAAATCGAAATAGATTATGTCCACTGGCCCACCTTTGTCTAACTTGATTGTTTCCTCCTCAAATATTTATCAAGTATTACCTCCACTTGATGAAGCCATGCTGACCCAGCCCTATTTTGCCCAATGTCCAATCTTGCTTCTCTTTTATTTTTCATATATCTAAAATAACTCATGCAGTCTTCTTTTACATTAATGCCTTGCTTACCCTCATTTCATCTCTCTCCCCATCACTTTTTTAGTTGTCCTCGCTGATTTTTAAAGCTTCCCAATCCTCTGGCTTCCTGCTAATCATCACCACATTGTATGATTTTACTTTTGCTTATATGATGTCCCTGACTTCCGTTGTCAGCCGTGGATGCCTCATTGGCCTCTTGGTATGTTTCTTATTCCTTGGGATGAATTTCTGCTGTACCTCCCAAATTATCCCCAGAAACACCTGCCATTGTTGCTCCACTGTCTTCCTTGCTGGGCTCCCCTTCCAACTCTGACCACCATCTCTCTCATGACTTTGTAGTTACCTTTACTCAATAGTAATACCATTACATCTGATTGTCCCTCTTAAATTTGCAGGGTGAATTCTATCATCCTATGGTCACTGCCCCTTCACCTTAAACTCCGTAATCAAGTCTGCCTCATTACATATCACCAAATCCAGAGTTGCCTGTTCCCTAGTGGGCACTATGAAAACTGCTGCAAAAATAATCTCTCAGATATTTCACAAATTTCTTGGGATCCACTACCAATCTGATTTTCCCAGCTCACTTGCACATTGAAATCCCCCATGATTACTGTAATAGTGCCTTTCTTAATGCCTTTTCTATTTCCTGATCTATGTTCTTCCCCAC